GTGTGTGTGTGTGTGTGTGTGTGTGTGTGTGTGTGTGTGTGTGTGTGACAGTTACACTTTACTGACACATGCTACTTTAGCTACAGGAGGGCTGCAAGTGGAGACTATACAGAAGTGAAGCTGAGGCTATTCATCAGACATTTCAGATCAAACTGGGAGAGAGAGGGAGAGACAGAGAGAGAGAGAGAGACAGGGAGGGAGAAAGAGAGAGAGGGAGACAGAGAGAGACAGAGAGCGAGAGAGAGAAAGACGGAGAGGGAGATGGGGAGAGTACTGTCATGGAGTACACAATATTACTATAGTGCAGTATATTATTGTACATTGAAACCAACCCTATCAAATAAAATAAAAAAGTAGAGTAAAGCAACTGGTGGATGGGGAGACTAACTATTACAATGTCTTCTCATTAGACACTGTAGTAAACTTGAAAACGTGAAATTTGGCTTTTTTTAAAAGCATGTTCTAACTAAAGTAATTCTGACTCTGCACCTTCTTCTGCTCGGTCACACTGCCCTCTTGTGGCAGATCACAGGAGCTGTCAGATATTCATCAATACTCTCGTTTACATACCACATATTTATATTTATTTTGCAGGAACGATTGTGTGTTTTGTACATTGTACATGTTCTGCTGTGTCGCTTCTTTCTATCTCTCTGCCTATATATCTGTCTATCTATATACATCTATATTTAATGAAAAAAACTAAATATAGAAAAAATCAAATGTTGCTGCGCTCTCATTGGCTATCTCAAGCTTACGTCAGTGTTACGCGCCTTCTGATTGGCTGCCGGATTGACGCCATTATATCCTGTCTGTACCGGACAAGTACGGTGAAGGTGAACCTTGCCGGTCTCTCTCTGCTCTGTCTACCCGTCGCTGGAAGCATCCTCTCCCGCTCAAGTCTGCTCCGTGATCGTCCCTGAAGCCATGTCCATATTCAGCGATGTCCCGCAGGCTCCTCCGGTGGCGGTCTTCAAACTGAGCGCCGACTTCCGGGAGGACAGCCACGCTGTGAAAGTGAATCTGGGAGTCGGAGGTGAGTTGAGAGAGATGGTCCCTATAGCTGCTAATGCTAAAGCTAAGTTAGCATGCTAATGCTAATTTAGCTTTGTGATGCTAACAAATATGAGCAGTTCTTTGATTTGACCTTCCCTACAAGCTAGCAGGGAAGCTAACGCGCTAAAGCACAAGTTAGCTGTGTGTTGACAGCTTTATATAAGATACGATAAGATACTCCTTTATTAGTATTATATATATATATATATATTATATTAATAAATATGTGTGTATATGTACTGGATTACAGTAAAAATTTGTACTGGATTACAGTAGCATAGTGAATAGTGCAAACAAGAGACATAGTATTATAAATAAGTAATAAAACAGTAAAGAATATAATATAAGGAAAGTAAAAAATCCACAATAACTAAAATATTATATTACACAGTGTATTTATTACTTATACATGCTACAGCTGCTAAACACGTGACAGTGGAGGGAGTTACATTGAAGAGAAGCAGAACCTCGTCTTGTAACGGTTTACCCTGAAAGGACTGAGACTAGTTTGTCACTATGTGGGATAAACAGCAGGTGCTTTTGCGAAGGCTATTTATCCCACTATCTCACGTGTGTCCTTGAACGCATCACATCCCACAGAGTCAGTGTTTAAATGTTTTTTGTATTTAAAAAAAAATAAAAAATTACTAGCAGGAAGATTACTGGTTTGGTAACTTTAATGCAACTATTAATTCCAAACTAAATTCAGGTTATTTCTCAGGGACACTGCATATTAAACATTAATGTAAACATGCAATAATTAGTGAAGTTAGCAGCCTAAAATATAATTAGATTTGCTCGTTTTGAAGCTGTCCAATGCTGCACTTGTGACGATGTCGTCTTTAATTGATGCCTCTGCAGGACACTTGAGATGAAACAACGTAGAGTATTGTTGTGTTATTGTCTGACAGGTTACCAGTTATTCACCTTGTGATGGCTGGAGCTGTATTTTGTAGATTGAAACAATTCATAACCACAACTCTACAACAATTAAAAAATAAAAAGGTCCAATTAAATACCTGAAAGTGTTGATCTGTTGTCCCAGTCATATCCTGCATATGGTATATTTTTTTGCTGTCTGACTTAAAGTGACTTATTGATGATCATCTTACTATTCATTGCCGGGGTTTGTGGGTAGTATGATGTCACTAACGCCTTAGGACACCTGCGCCTTTACTCTCTTTACACAATAGACCACTAAAGTGTTGACATTCAAATGTCATGTCATTCTTGACATTTTGTGTGTGTGTGTGTGTGTGTGTGTGTGTGTGTGTGTGTGTGTGTGTAATGTCGTCATTCTCATGATGTCAACTAAACAGACGGACACAGTCCCTCATTATTTATTACGTTTATCTCTCACCGGTTTAATGACTTCAGAGAATTGTGTCACTTTGCAGAAAGTGAAGCAATGACGTCCAAGAAAAGCTGGCGTGTAATCTGTGTCTCAACGTTACAGTAGCCTCAGTATCTCCACCTTCTGTAACTTAAGGCCCACTTCACACGAGGACCACCTTCCCAAATATATGAGATAAGAAACCATGACATCTGTGCCTCCGTGTTCTGCTTCCGCTCCTCGTCGCCGGCCTTTATTGTTTCGACCTGATGCGTCGTGATCAGCGTGGTGATATTCAAATGTAGCTGCTCCTTACGATATTGCTTCGTTTGACTTACTGTGTGAATTCTGGAGCACATTTGGAAATAAAAATAACTGTCTTTGTACATTTTGACCCTGAACAGAATCCACTGAGCAACAAGCTGCTTGTTTGACCTTTTAAAGTGCGTCTACAGCGGTGGTGAAGGCCTGATATCTGATCCAGCTTCAGTACGAGGGAGCACGAGTTCTTCAGGAGCCAAATATGTGCCACACATACACAAACATCTCCTCCCACTAAAACTACATTTTACAGATTACATGTGAACACATCATGATAACATAATTCACCTTCAGCCAGTACTCATTTTCACTGAGCAGAGCCTGAAGGCATCATAATGTAACTGAAGTGAACCTCCGTTGTTTAGCCGTTAGCGGTGCTGCTAACATTACTAGCTCTCTTCTGATTGGTTGTTTACAGTTTAACATTATCAGAGATCAGAACATGTGATACAACAGTGCCTTGAGGTGCGGTGTGGTTGAGACGATACGGTGATTTAAGCTGCGAAAAGATGATATTTTACCTAAAAGTAGGGAAAACTCTACTGACAATGTGTTGAGTTATTAAACGTGTGGGGTTTTCATTGTATACGTCACTGTCACCGGTGTCTTCGAGGCTTGTTGATTAAAGTGCCGCGCTGCTTTGTGTCCCCTCCAGCTTACCGTACCGATGACTGCCAGCCGTGGGTGCTACCGGTGGTGAAGAAGGTGGAGCGGCTGATCGTGGAGGACGGCAGCCTGAACCACGAGTACCTGCCCATCCTCGGCCTGCCCGAGTTCCGCTCCGCCTCCTCCAAGGTGGCCCTGGGAGACGACAGCGCCGCCATCAAGGACAACAGGGTGAGAGACACACACCTATACACACACACACAGGATGAGAGACACACACCTACACACACACACAGGGTGAGACACACACATAGACAAATATACACACACAAGGTGAGACACACACACAGGGTTAGACACACACACACGCATGCATAGATTAAATAAGATGTTAAACTTGTGATGTCATTGTTTTTGACTTCTTATAGACAAACATTATTTGATGAATCAAATAAATATCACATCAATGTAAATATCAGTTACATTCTAACTGAATAGTCAGTGTTACATCCCTGAGTTGTTTCATTTACTACATTTCGTTTCATCCCGTCTCAGGTGGGCGGGGTCCAGGCTCTGGGCGGGACAGGTGCGTTGAGGATCGGGGCAGAGTTCCTGCGGCGTTGGTACAACGGCGTCAACAACACGGCCACGCCCGTCTATGTCTCAGCGCCCACCTGGGGTCAGTAGACGTGGAGCTAATATGGAAACAGAGCTCTGAATTCCCTAAAATGTCTTCGATCCTTTGCTGCCTGATAATAGATTTGAGGTTTTAATTTTCTATCGTCCTTCTTCCTCCCAGAGAACCACAACAGTGTGTTTGCTGATGCCGGCTTCAAAGACATCCGGCCCTACCACTACTGGGATGCTGCTAAGAGGGGCCTGGACCTCGCCGGGCTGCTGGACGACCTGGAGGTGAGGAGGGCCGACTCGAAAAGAATCGCTGTGTACCGTTAAATCGTCCACAGATAAGTGGTAGTGGTGTAACAGACCATAGTGGATCCGTACAGATCCTAAATACACAGTTAAACCATCACAGTATGAAGTTAAGCTTTAATGACGACGTCACGTTGTGAACAATACATCTGTCATGTCATCTGTCTGACATGTGACCATGTTTGGAATGTGGAGGAGTGACGTAGAGACGTTGTGTACGTCTCTGGCAGTGACCTGTCAATCACAGTAAGCCCCGCCCTAAAGCATCCCCTCTTCTTAAAAACAGAAAGCTCCAGAACACTCCATCTTCGTCCTCCACGCCTGCGCACACAACCCCACCGGCACCGACCCGACCCCGGAGGAGTGGAAGAAGATCTCAGAGATCATGAAGGTGAGATGATGTTCAGGTCCTCTATGCAGGTATATATTCTGTTGGTCCTGGATATCACGTGAATATTTACAGTTTATTCCTGTTGACTCTCTGAACCCCGAAACTTGCCGGCGGGTTTCAAAAACATGTTCTTTCTTGATAAAATGCCGAAAATGATGCCATCTATCAACGCCAGAAGCTGTAAAAACCGGCGCTATCGTCAGATTTTCCAGTTTCCGACGGTCCTCGACCACATCACGTGTGGCGAGCGCTTCTGTCAGGAAACAAAACATAAAATTCTGAGCTCCTCAACTGAGACCAACAGTCACGTGACTGAACTACAGGCTGTTTACACGGCGCAGAGAGGAGAGGCTGTAAAATATAAATAGTTCAATATTTATAGCCCCAATTAGTTTTATTACATTAGTAAAACTTGTGGGCACTTAAAGATATAGATTCCATTGTTTTTCAATTATTTTTCTTATGATCTATGGCATCATAACTGTGTTTTAATGAACTTACGACACGTTTGAGTTCTCTCCTTGTAGCTCCGGTTGTGTTTTTCTCCGTAGAGGTGCACAACTTTAATACTGCAGTGAAAGACTGTGTGGGGTTCAGGGGGATTATTGCTCCTTTGAACATTTCTTTTCATCAACTTTTGCTTAATTATGTTTTTTAAATATGTTTTCTCTTCTTCTACTGTTTTAATATCTTCTCTTTCTCTAGAGGAGGAACTTGTTCGTGTTCTTTGACTCGGCCTATCAGGGCTTCGCCTCTGGTGATCTGGACAAAGACGCCTGGGCCATCCGTTACTTTGTCTCCGAGGGCTTTGAGCTGTTTGTAGCTCAGTCCTTCTCCAAAAACTTCGGCCTTTACAGTGAGTGCACAGAAATGAATACAAAAAAAGATATATATCTCTATAATTATGCACAAAATGAGTTCAAGCCCCAAAAGAACTGTTCATACACCCGTTTGTACATTAAATATGAAAGTAGTCCATCTGTTTTCTCAGATGAGAGAGTCGGTAACCTGACCGTGGTCGCCCAGGACAGCGAGAACTTGGCCCGCATCCTGTCCCAGATGGAGAAGATCGTCAGGACGACTTGGTCCAACCCGCCGTCTCAGGGAGCACGCATCGTCAGCAAGACCCTCAACTGCCCCGAGCTCTTCAACGAATGGTACGCCCCCAACTTTACACAGAGCGGAGAGGAGAGGTTATAGAAATGTAAACAGTTCAATGCAAACAGAGAGCAGAGCCCAATTTCTACGAAAAAATGTCAGATATATAAATTATATATTTTTCCAATTTTTGTAAAAATTACAAATCAATAAATACAAATGTTTATGATTTTATGGCATTGTAACCGTGTTAAACTGCACAAAAGATATATTTGAGTTCTCTCAATGATGGCGCTGTTTCCGTAGACTTTTATTTTGTCGTGAGAAACGAGGCAAAAACTGCTTCGAGTATAATAAAATAGTTTTCTCTCTAGTGAGTAATGACGTGAGTTGGTAGTCTGGTGCTGAACGCCTGGTGAAGGGCACATGAATATTTCACAACTTTCTTTTAAAATATTGAAGCAGCAGTCGGGCGATTTTGAGAACTTAATTTATCTGAACTTCAAGCGCTCCTACGTTTTATTCTAGTTCATTTTTTCTAACTCTGTCTTGTGTCCTCCTTCTCTCGCCTCCTCTCCGTAGGAAGGGTAACGTGAAGACCATGGCAGAGCGCGTCCTGCTGATGAGGGATCAGCTGAAGGCCAAGCTGCAGGGTCTGGGCACCCCGGGGACCTGGGACCACATCACCCAGCAGATCGGCATGTTCAGTTTCACCGGCCTGAACCGTGAGTGTGAAAACGCACAAACTCCTGCACGCGGCGGGGCTTCCACCGTCAGGGTTGACAGCTAATTCATAAAGTTAGCGTGTGTGTGACCGTCCGTGTGTTGCACTCTGTCTCTCCAGCCAAACAGGTGGAGTACATGATCAAAGAGAAGCACGTGTACCTGATGGCCAGCGGCCGCATCAACATGTGCGGCCTGACCACCAAGAACATCGACTATATCGCTCAGTCCATCCACGACGCCGTCACCAAGGTCCAGTGAAGGCCGCCTCCGTCCGCCCAGCCTCCCGCCTCCTGTGTGCAACAGGAAGTATTGTCAATGTCTGTGCCCTTATGCCCCGCCCCCTTTCCCATCATCCAACCTCTTGATTGGTTCGACTGCTTCAGGGGGGTTTTTGCAGTCGAACCAATGTTTTTTCGTTCTCGCATGAAGGTGTAAAAACCTTCGGGAGGTGCAATGATTTTAGGAAAGTACTTGAACGCACAAAGAATCACACCCGAATGTGTAAAGTCATAAAGTTAAAACCTTCGTTTGTCGATGTTTTTTTGCTTCCTCGATGTAATTGAAAGCCCTGCAAGGGATTAACGTGTAGTATTTAACAAATAGATGTAGACTGCAGGTTAATGTAAATAGATGTAGTCACTCTTCCAGGTGCTGTTACTCCCTGCAGATGCACTGAAGCCCAAAAACAAATCAGTTTAAAAAAGTAAATCCTGATTCCTTTTATCAGAATTCCCAATTTTAACAATGAAATATATGTATATTTATTGATCAAATTGTTACGCTGAAGTGTGAATGAGAGCGTCATGTGAGCGTGTTAGAAGGTCTCTTGACGGTAACAGCTGGTGCCTGATGCTGCAGGTGTTTGTCACACCTGTGCAGCTTCGTGGAAGGTCACAATGTGACGTTCACAGAGCGACCGCTGAACAAAGCGCCTCTCTTCTCTCTGTTGTTGTTCCCGCTCTCTCTCTCTCTCTCTCTCTCTCTCTCTCTCTCTCTCTCTCTCTCCGCCCTGCAGTGTCCTTATCGTGTGACGGAAAGCGACCTCAGTCTCGTGACCGCTCTCCCATCACGTGGTGGTGTTTGTAATTGCACACAGCAGTAATAATACTGTAATAAACTATGAAACACGCACCAAATATTTGTGTTCCGTCTGTTATTTTCACCCAAAATAAACCCTCCTGGACCTTTTTCTAAAATATCTACATAAATATGAGAAGTAAATGAGTTTAAGCTTGAGATGTGTTGTGGAGCTTTATATTTCTGTACATTATGATGTAAAACACCAATGACACAGCTTTATATTTGACAAGCATAAAGTTTCATTCATCTTTTTCACTCGAGCTGAAAACAATTCAAATGTTTGAGCACCAATCAGAGTTCATGTTGGCTCTTTGTAGAAACGGTGAAGGTACAAAAACACAAAGATCAGATGAGTCTCTAATCTAATCAACGGAAATCCTGCAGAGGAATCGCTCATCGTCACGTGTTTGACCCCCAAAGGACGATGCCGATTGGCTGCGGTCGGCCGCTTCAATGCAGCAAAGTGACTCAGCAGGTTTGATGTATACTGCACCCAGGAGGGAGGCCCCTCCCCCCCCTTCGCCCCCCTTCGCCTGTTACAATAACCAATGAGCGGAGTTAGAGAGCATCCTCCCCCGGTCTGCGATGGATCCATCTCTGCGTTTGAACACTAACTGTAGCAGTAATTCAAATCTTTAAATGAGATAATTGTCAGTGTCCCAACAGTTAAAAATAAGATGGGACTAAAACATGGCGAGAGCTTTAAGACCTCCAATAAAACACATACTGCTCCTTAATGCTGGTGACCCGCCAAAATAAAATTGTACAGGTGATGCAGCGGGTTAGTTCAATCAGGGACCTTAATTATATGAATTATTCTGTCAATGAACAGCTTCTATATCGGTCTGACATGAGACTTCAGACATTGATCTTCTTTTCTCCCATCCTTCCCTGCATCTCCCCCCTCCTGCTCCTCCTCCTGCTCCTCCTCCTCTTCCTGCTCCTCCTCCTCTGTGCTGCAGTGCCACAAATGTGATCGTGCAAACTCAGTCAGACGGAGCGACGCCCATCTGTCTGTCCCGTCCCGTCCTGTCCCCGTGCAGACAAACACTAAACGTCCACAGCACTGCAGGTTCAAGGACACAACTGAAGGATTCTGGGTAGCAAGAAATGTGAGCAGTTGCAACCAGAAGCATCTGAAGTTAAACTGTTACATTTGAATACAAAGAGCCTGATATTATATGTGATCAGTGTTGAAGACTATTTGACATAAATCACCAAACTGTAACATCTCGTGTAGACTCGAGAGTGTTGAAATCCCAGCCACTAAGAGACACTTTTATTAAATAATTAATTCTAAAGGAATATGTATCCATAATATGTAGCTTCCATAACACGTCTTCTTTCTGACTAGCTGAAAGAAAACTTCCAAAATACACATTTAGGTGTTTTTATTTTACTACGTTTGTGTATTTAAGTTTGTAGATTTATACTAAATTCACCAAAAACTACCATTAGATAATACCTCATTTGCATATTTCAAACTTAACATTTCAGAAGACTTGTAACACAATAAATACTCCTCTTAATGTGAGTAATGAAGTGAAGTCTCATGGTGATATCTATGAGTTCATGTTTTGACCCTATTCTGTGGTGTCTCCCCTAAACATATCTTGAGCTTCTTGTATCTCTGCTGGTTGTTATTATTATTAGAAAATGATAAATGATGAGTTGTGAGAGCGTGACAGTACGGAGACACAAGCTCATTGGAATCCAGCCGTTTTATTTACACCTGTGCTCCTCCTACTGTGACACGTCAGAAATGTCTTCCGTTAAAACGTCGACTCAGTCGGACCAAAAATAACATTTCACAGAACTGCTGAAATCATCCGTGTTGTTTTTGGATAAAAAAGGTAAAAAAAGACTCCTGGTCATGGTTTCTCCTCCACAATCTGCGGAGTCGTTCGAATCAACGACAATTGCATTAAGTGTTTTCAACATGTCTGCAGCACAGATTAAAGAGGAGTGAAGAAACATTTAACCCCGATTCAAAGCATATTCTAAAGCACTGCTGCGTTCGCACGTCATGCTGGAGAAGCTCTGCCGTTGAGGCTTAATTTCCATTCAAAATGTAAACCCATTAAATAACCCCTTAAATTCACATTCAGATCCATGCAGGGGGAGGCAGAGGAAAGATGTTTTTAAGAGAATATTCTTGGACTCTGGAAATATTCTACATCTCAAATTCTACTAATTTTGTTTTAGAAATCCCATTTTTTTTGTTGCCGATGTGGACAATAAATGAAAAAAGTCATTATGGTATGAATACAGGTCATTTGAATGATGTTAAAAGTAGGATTACATTAAAGCTTAAGCTAGTTCTGTCTACATAGAGTGCTGCAGGAATGAGTCCTAAACCCCAGAAAGGAGTCGGTGTTTTTACACTTCCTGTTCGCTCGTCTGAACTGGAGATGTCTGAAATAAGGTCCGTGGTTAACGCGAGCTGAAGAGATTTTAACGTTTTGTTCTACGATATAAAATACGTCAGTAAACTCCCCTCTGGTGAGTTTAGAAGCTTTTACGCGTCTTAAAAAAGTGTCTAAATGAGAAAACTAAACGTCATCACGAGAACATAGTCTATATAAGTGGACGTAGTCATCATGATGTCACCCATTGGTTTGTGGACCTCCATCGCCATCTTGGATTACGGCCGTCGCCATGTTGGTTTTTGTGCAACCGATGAACGAAAGTCACCATATTTGGAATGTGGAGGAGTGACGTAGAGACGCCGTATACGTCTCTGGTAGAGACCTGTCAATCACCGTGTAGCCCCGCCCTAAAGCATCCCCTGCTTTATGGTCTGTGTGACTCTAAATGGACCATAATGTACTAAATGAACATCATGCTGTATTGAAGAAGACTTGAAACTAGAGATTGAGACCATAAACTCATGTTTACAATGTTTACTGAGGTAATAAATCAAGAGAGAAGTAGAGTCATTTTCTCATAGACTTCTATACAACCAGAGGAGTCGCCCCCTGGTGGTCATTATAGAGAATGCAAGTTTAAGACACTTCAGCATCGGCTTCACTCGTCAGAACCGGAGGTTGCCGCCTGCTCTAGAACATTAGTCCTCCTTTAGCCTAGTGGTGACGTTAAGTCATGTGACCGTGGTGGAGTTCCTTCATAGCCTAACGTTAGCTTTTTACTTCTGCTGATTGTATTCACGCTATAAAAATCCTAAAAGTGGTTTTCATCTGCGTAGATTATCTTGAACATGTGTAAGTGTCACTCTATTACCTACATGTTGATTGGTTGAGGGAAGGTGTACTGATGCAACAGTATGTGTGTCATGTTTAGCTCACATGGAAGGTGCTGGCCTCATAAACCTGGTTAACGTATGCAATCTAGACATCCTGTATGTATAACATCACGCGTCCTGTGTTGTGGTGGACAGTCACTGCAGCCAGAAGCTCACTTTCATTTCACCTCCAATAAAAGAGAAAGAAGCCGCAGAGGGGCCGAGGTTCATTAATAATAGAAAGGGATCTGATGAAAAGGGCTCCGCTCAACAGATGATTATTTAAAGAGGCTCAGTGGTCATAAAGCTGAACGCAAATGAAAGGCTCACTCGAGATTTCTAAAAATCTGTGTGCAGACAGGCGGCTCACATCTCTCCTGTCACCACGCCTGAGGTTCTACGAGGTGATTGGGATCACGTATCTTCAAAGACAAGCGGTGAAGGAGGGTAGATGGTGACGACTTCCACCACAAAGCAGAATAATAATGAACGAATCCAATCTGATCAATAATTAAATCACAAGGGCCTTTTAGCTCTGATGACGCAGAGCAGGTGTTCAAACCCTTTTTTTTTTACCTCCTAACATTTACATACAAAAACTATTGATGCAAAGATACACTAATGTCTGAAATATCATTGTTCGCTGTTGCATTAAGACTTCGGTTTATAAGCAAGGGGCCCAACACAGGAACATGTCCACACACTTTAGGCCTCATGTACTCTGCTTAGAAGGAGAGGGAAGAACATCCGGACACAATCTGGATACAAAATGCTCGTTCGTACAGAAATAGAAGAAAAAAGATTAGTATTTGTGATTTCATTCATGTCATGTGAAGTCCCGCCCCTTCCGGTGGACCACCATTTATTTTGGAAAAAAATATGTATGGTAGTCATCTACGAAGGACAAATTGTTACATGAATTACAGACGTGATTGTTTGTCAATTTAAATAATAATTTTCCAGCATCCCCTGCTTTATGGTCTGTTTGACTCTAAATGGACCATAATGTACTAAATGAACATCATGCTGTATTGAAGAAGACTTGAAACTAGAGATTGAGACCATAAACTCATGTTTACAATGTTTACTGAGGTAATAAATCAAGAGAGAAGTAGAGTCATTTTCTCATAGACTTCTATACAACCAGAGGAGTCGCCCCCTGGTGGACACTAGAGAGAATGCAGCTTTAAGACACTTTCGCATTAGCTTAACTTTTCAGGTTGCCTTCCGGACAAAGTTACATTTTAGGATGAAACACAGCTATGTTGGCGTTGGTGACGTACATTGTGTGAGACTAGCGGTTCCACACAACACTAAACGGTTCGACGACAAACTGAGACTTTCTTGATTTGCAAAATGATCTTTTAAATGGACGCATGTGTAATTCATGGCACATCTCAAATGGGATCCAAAGAAATATTCCTCTCTCGCCGTTGACTATGGTCCATCCTTTTTACAAAATAAAGTCCAATGTGACACCGGAAGGGGCGGGTACTTCACCTCTCTTTCAGCAGGTAACCAATAACATAAATCAAATCAAAAGCCTGAACACAAAGCAGCCGGTTAACGTCTGTTCTGTTGACATGTCCCCCTGTGCATATCTGGAGCACTATGTACAAAAACAGCAACATCTTTGGTGTCTTCCATCCCTTATTCTATTCGCTCCATTGGAGAAGTGATCAAATGAGGAGGGTATAAAAACTATTATCTATACATTTACATCATCGTCATTCCTTTATATACAAGCAGCAACATGAATAACCTGCGAAGATGTGAAGCTGCGGTTCATTGCCAAAGCTGCGACCCCCCTGTTCTTTCACATGTATATAAAATGGCGTCTTCCATCCGTGTGTTCATTACATTCCTGGTGACGGGTCCACGTTATAATCTCCAACAGTGTGTTGATTTCAGATAAAACTCTGATAGCTGTAGTTCGACAACCACGTCGGTCTTTACAAACAACTTGAAGAACCATCGGACGATGGAGTGTTCAGGTCCGTCTCACGCACTCCGCTAGGTTTTCACCAGGGGCTGCTCTGAAATGTCCTCCGGTGTCTTTTCTCCTTCGCGGGATTTTTTCCTCTTCTTGTGGCCTGAGGAGACAACACAGTTAGATGCTACGCATACAAGCAGTTTGACTTGGTGATCGGTGCGCGACAATAAACATAGTGCGAAAGTAAAAAGACATGATTTAAAAATAGAAAATGTGAAAATGTACAATAAAGTATGACAAACAAACATATTAAGAGTATGTTTAAAAGGTCAACGTGGAACTTCTCTAATTTGGTTCCAAGCTTACTTTGCACCTCCGTTGTATTGATTCTGTTTGTGCGGATGAATGGCAGCTAGTTCGGTTGCTGTTTTGCACATCTGCTCCATTACCAGTCCAAAATGAAACATGAGGTTCTCTGTGATTATACATGAGTTTTAATTCTCCATTAGGTGACTTTAATACCAAACTAAAATGCATAAAAATCAGCGGCAAGTAGGGAAATATATTCAAAACAACTCTATAAGCTATTGTTTGTATTGCGCCGTTTAGGAAACTTCATGAGAATACAAAGTAGGCAAGTCCACATCACTAATGTATGTTTGAGTGGGAGGTTCTGGAGAGGAAGGCTGCGATTGTGAGTGTTGAGTTTGCATGTTAATCAAAGCAAAGCAGGGGAGAGAGAGAGAGAGAGAGAGAGAGAGAGAGAGAGAAAAGGTTGGTGAATAACCGGTTTGTGTGTGAGAGACTGACTGAGTTTGAGCAGGAGTTTCTTGCCCAGCGTGTCCTCTGAGCCGCTCAGGGAGAGGCTGCTGATGAAAGGAGACGTGTCCGTCTCTATGGGAACGGAGGCCATGTCTGAGAGAGAGAGAGAGAGAGAGAGAGAGAGAGAGAGAGAGACACATGACCCTGTCAATGATGAACAGCTTTATGTGAAACTAACGACATCGTGTCAACTGATGTCTGGAACCTTTAAAACCTGCTCAAGACAAGATTTTAATTAATTTAAACATTAAAACATGTTACCATTTATTGTTATTTTGGGACATTATCATCACATATTGTTACGTTATTAGTATATTGAGGATAATTTGTCGTACCAGTGTGTGCGTCGGTCTCATATCTGTCCTCCCTGATGTAAGGGATCTCGTCCATCCTGAGAAACACTGAGTCGCTCGGACTCTTCTGTCCGTCAGACTTGCTGCCTGCAGCAGAAACACACACAAACACATGAAAACACACGTGATGCCTTTTCATAACACGTGTTATAACGTAGGACTACCTCCAGGCGACAACCTCCGGTTCTTAAGAGTGAAGCCGATGCAGAAGTGTCTTAAAACTTGCATTCTCTCTAGTGACCACCAGGGGGCGACTCCTCTGGTTGTATAGAAGTCTATGAGAAAATGACTCTACTTCTCTCTTGATTTATTACCTCAGTAAACATTGTAAACATGAGTTTATGGTCTCGATCAAATATACAGAGTATATTCTTCCAAAAACTGCCCTAGCCAATAAATCTTGACAGCACATTCTTAATGTTACTCCCAAAACCCATTAAAAATGAACTTCCCTGTAATGTAACACTAACTGTCTCATAGCGATCCATTAAGAAGCACAAACAAGCCTTCTGTCTCTTCTTTCTCTTTTCTTATCGTCTCAATCATATTCAGTCATTTCTCCGTCCGTCGGTCTGTTTATCTCTCCCCAGACTGTTTCTGTCAGCTGCTTTGAAAACATCTCTTTGCAGTTTGGATGAGGTTCTTGAACTCAATTCATTTTCAGTATTTTGCTCTAATGAATTGAGAGAAACTCATTTGAGGTACCCAACGTTGTTTGTCTGCCTCTGATGGCTCACAGCATTTCTTGTTTATTTCAGTCTGAACTCCAGAATAATAATTTCCTGTCTGTCGAGGATACTTACGGACGATACGATTCTTCTCATTTAGCAGCGACGTGCTGTGTAGGACGCTGGACTGCTGTCCTCGGGTTCGAGCCGAGCTGGGCCGGCCGGTCTCCCTGGGTGGGGGCATGAGGGTGTGGGTGGTGGTGGTGGTGTGCTCCGGGGGCCTCAGCGTGGCGCCGTGCTCTGCCGCCGGGGGCTCTGGGGTCGGGGTGGTGCCTTCTGCCAGACAGGCTTCGGCATCAGGCGTCTGAGGGGAGCTGTCCATCCGGGTGGCTGTTACAGCATTGTGGTAGTGGCTCCGGGTAATCTGACACACAGCAACAGAGGATTGTGGGTAATATTAAGGGTTGGAAGGATGTTTGACTCTTGTCAAACTGTGTCTAAGAACAAGTCAACCCAGCCACCAGAAAAAAAATCTTGCCATTGCACGCAACAATGTAACGCAACAACGTACCGCAACTACGTACCGCAACTACGTACCGCAACTACGTACCGCAACAACGTACCGCAACAACGTACCGCAACAACGTAACGCAACAACGTAACGCAACAACGTAACGCAACAACGTAACGCAACTACGTACCGCAACTACGTACCGCAACAACGTACCGCAACAACGTAACGCAACAACGTAACGCAACAACGTACCGCAACTACGTACCGCAACAACGTACCGCAACAACGTACCGCAACAACGTAACGCAACAACGTAACGCAACAACGTAACACAACAACATTGACTTCAAGACATGGAAACTGGAAGTGAAAATATGCTGACTCATTAATTTAGGACTAATTTCTGCAGCACTATTCCGTTTCACTATGATACTCACAGTACAGAAGCTAATAAGACACTTTTGTTTCACTGGATGATAGTTAAGATGAAAACAGTTGAGTGTTAGATACAAACAGGCAGACATTGAAACCACAGTGTCACCTTGATGATCTGTAGATGTGTGAGCTGTTTCACAGAGTAGTCCGGCAGGTAGACGTTCGCCCCTCCGTTCAGTTGGCCCATGCTGCCTCCGTACAGCATGGACTCAGAGCGGTCCAAACCACTGCTGCGAGAGGGGGATCTGTGGACTGCAGGAGAAAGAAAAGACACATTTAAATATTCCATGAAGCACTTCTACCGGGATGAATAAGACTTGATCAAATCATTAGAGCTCAGCTTCATTTGGACCTTCTTGACCTGAGGTGGGCTCAGCCGTTGGAGCTGAAAGCTTCCATTTATTTGAGTCACTTCACTCGATGAATGCTTGGGATTATTTTCCCGGCTATTAAATCTCTTGGAAGCGTTCACACATTTCAAGCTGTGTGACTTTCAGTGCTGGCGATCAGGATTTACTCTCTTCGAGTGCAGGTTTACAAAACGCAAACAGGTTTAAGGTTCTTTCAGCTTCGTTTTTAAGATTTTTTAAATTGTATTTATTGCAACTGTACAACTTTTACTTTATTGGTAAACAAATCCAGTGTTTTTCTGTGTATATACTGTATGTATATGTATATTTATACTCGGTATGCTTTTGTGTTCTTTACTTTTATGCTTGCGAGAGCCCCCATGAGCTAAAAAACAAGCACATTTTTGGGACATTCGGTCACTTTAGGGACTAATTTTCAGTTTAGGGTGAACATTAACATGGGTAATAGTTTACTGTACTGTATTCAGGTTAAATTTGATGTGTAGTGAGACATATAGTGGAGAGAAAGGAAGTTAGATGATAAGAATAAAAACAGTGAGTGTGTATTTGTACCTGCTGGCATGATGGAAGGAACCCCGAAATAAGAAAAAGCTCCGTTCTCAAACTTCAGCGCCTCTTTACCAAACTCCACCTCAACTCGACCCTGAAGAAACAGAAACACCACATGAGCTTGTCTGCGCCAGGAACATGCACACATTTTTATTGCAGTATTTATTGCAGTATTAAAAGCAGGTACCTGCAGGACCAGGATAAAGTAGTCCACCGGTTTGTTGCGCTGGAACAGGAAGTGCTGCGGCGCTCGCTTGTTCTTCTCATCAAACTTGAGTTCCTGAACCACGCTGGGGTGTTTGATCAGCCTCAACAAGATCTTCTCTGAGATGTGAGCTGGTTTGAAGGGCTCCACCTCTGATGGAGGGAGGAGAGGAGACAAAACGTTCTCATGACCCAATCTACAGGACCGTAGACCGTAGATTGTAGACCGTGGACAGTAGTTAGCATACGACTGGATTAATGAGACTTTGATACATGAGTTGTGTGAGAGTTCGTTGATGGATGTTCTCATCTCATTTTGCTGTTGTTAAAAGCAAACCAATTTACTTAAATTCACCAAGACTTCTCCATTTTTTGATTTTCCATTTTTGATTCTTCGTTTTGCCGTGGAGGCATGACAAGAATTCAAGGTAACGCAGGACGAGTCATACAAATGGCTATTTTGGGGTGAAGTATTCCTTTAACTTAAACTCAACCCCAACCCAGACCTCATCTCTAAACAGAGACCCAACATTTTATTGTCCCTTAAAGAACTTAGGAACTGAAGACAACATCCTGAGTTTGGAGGACATCCCTCTCCTTCCCTGTGAGGATGTTTTGTTAGAGATACAAGAACAGCTGATTAGTTACCTGTGGACAGGAAGCGGTGCGTCGCCAAGAGAAGCTGAGGAGAAATATTCACTTTCATCTCGTTCTCTGACAGTTTGAAGATAGAGAAGTCCTGCTGCTTCCTCTCGTGGTGAGATACGCGACGCTTCGTACGATTATCCGCTGACGGAACAGAAACACACGCAGAATGAGAAAACACTGAACTCCCACACGGTCCGACCATCTAACCCTAACCCACATACATACTGTAGAGGTCGGTCTCGTCGAGGATCTCTGACTTGATGATTTCCTCAATGACGTCCTCCAGGGTGACGATGCCCATCACCTCGTAGAACGGGTCGCCCTCGCCCTCGTTGTTCACCCGCTGCACGATGGCGAGGTGGGACTTCCCTTGAAGAAAACGTTGATTCAGTATCACTTTTAACCCAGAATTCATTCCTAAAAAAATACTTTACAGTGTTTAAAACACTTGGACAAAGAAAAATGCAAATGGGTAGGCAAGCATCATATTGATAAAACTCTGATTAAACATTACATTTTGGTTAACAAATGGCTTTACTAAACAGAGATCCGTTTTTCAATCGTTCAACAGAGCTCTGTTCATTTTTAAATCTGGATTTGCTCGTTGTTTTGACTCTGATTCCTAATCTTAGATTAGATTAATCCTCGCTGGTAGAGCCCCAGCCTAAATAACGCCTCTCAGATAGGGTCAGACCCACTCCCAATAAATCACTAAAGATGCAGAAGACCTGTACAAAAAGCAGCATATTATCAAATAAGATTTTTTAGATTTTATTTGTGTGATTAGATTTGAGTAACGCTGTCTCTGCTCACATGCATGAGACTCACAGCGAGTGGGAGCTCTGCAGACTGATGCTCAGTGAGTGGAGCTGAATGGAGTGGGTGTAAGAGCTAAAACGCACACACAGTTCACTGCGTGCACAAATACAATCCATCACATGAATTCACCCCACGGGTCTGCAGAGCCTCCGCTGGCTTCACCTCCAGGATGACCATGTGTGTGTGTGTGTGTGTGTGTGTGTGTGTGTTTCCAAAGGGAAAATCCTTTGGGCGTTCCCGGAGTGATTAATAATCCGTGTACTGCTGGGTGAAAAAACACGCAGACACGTGGACAAATATACAGAAATACACGTGCACACACACACACCCACACACACACACACACACACACACACACACACACACATCCAGAACACAGAGCGAATCCTTGTTTTGGAGCTCCTCCTCAACACTCTGGCTCCAAATCAACTTCCTCACTGAGATTCTCTCTCTGCTGCTACACTCTCCGCCTGCCAAATACTACCTCACACACACACACACACACACACACACACACACACACACACACACACACATATCATTGCACACACAGTTCTGGCAGAGCTACATTCAGCTAAATAGGTCAGCCTTACCTACAAACTGGTCTGAAAGAGGCAGAGCAGAGAGCTGATGTGCTATATGTTCTTCCTCTGTGAGTCCTGAAGATTTAGGAATCACATCTCTTCGTTTTTGTTCCTCCATCAGCGTCTTCCTCACATGTTGATTTCCCCTTAAAACGAGCCATAGGCTAGAGAGACAACTTTGTATATTCCTGGATATAAATGGGGATTTTAAAAAGCACATCTTCTGTTAGATGCATGGATCAAAATAAAATAAAGCGTAAAGAGTTTTGAATATAATCTAACAAAACGCTTCATAGCAGACTAAAGCATTGTTAGATAGTCGATTGCAGACATTTTGACTCTTCGTAGCAGGAAAAGCCCTAATTAATAACCTTAATGATGGTCCAGGTCTATTTAAGTGTCCCAGTATGTGTGCGCCAAAGAACCAGCGCACATGCCTCGACTTCAGCCGTGATTAATCACACCTGAGCACCTTTTCCTGCTCTGACCAGTCAAGATGTCTGCTGGGGACAGAAAGGAGATCCCCTCACTGCCGTGTGCAGCACCATGATGGTAAGAGCTGACAGTCTAAGACCATAACTCACAAGAGTAAATTATTCATTTTGGATTAAATATATTAGCTTCTATTAGCATCAACCTCTATTTACATTTACTTGTGTTGGCAGCATGAGCGCTGATCAGCTGAGACTTATAGAGGACAGATGGCAGCGAGACAAAGTGAAAATACAGCACACTGAATATTTTATACTCTGCCTCCTGGGAGACGTTTTAGTGAGGACAGAGAGACAGAAGAGGATTTAGATTCCGTCTGTGTCAACAGCTGAGCTGCTTCAATGAAGCCCCACCTTCCTTTCAACAGCTCCCAAATTCATTAAAGGTAATAAGTTATTCTATGTAAACATATATCAGGTATTTGTCGTCTGTCGTCTAAACGTACCACATCTGTACCCGACTAACGCTCAGTTAAGTTCGGACTCTTTTGGAAACTTTCTTGGACGGACAGAAAGTTTGAAGTCTCACCGCAGGTTCAAGATTTCAATTTTCCAAACTGACACTTTTCTGATCTTAATCGTGACGCCGTCGCTTTTGTCGTAGTTGTGTTTTTTGGGCTGATTGTTGGAAAACAGACTTTCTGGCAGACGGAGACTCTCGTCCACCGTTCAGCTTCCCTTCTCTCCAACAACGCTTCCTCTGGCACTGGTGAGGCTCTCCGTACCGACACACCGTTGTTTTTGTTGTTGTTGTTCACAGCGCGGGGGAGGGGGGGGTGTTACTTGGCCGGTTTCTTTTGTGCCAGACATTCTGCTTTGCATTCAGGCCAAAGAAGGTCTCACCAGACTGACACAAACTCCGCTACACCTCTTCAGTGTCTTTTAAATGTGGAGAAATCAGCGTTTTATTAAGAAACACACACCGTGGCTCAGGGAACTCAGATCAAACTGTGAAACAGCGCTGATCAAACATGTATCAATATTCTGTTCATGCATGGAACCTATTTCTCACCTCAAATGTTTAATAAACCATTTAACGTACATTTTAGCTGTAAAACGAGAAAGTTCGTGATCCGGCCGCCATGTTGAAAGTAGTGAAGCCAATAGGAAGCCTCGTCCACCTGCCGGACCGTTTGGTGTTCCGTCGCATCGTTCCGTTTGTTGTTTGGTGGATCTCCACCGAAACTTTTCTGAGGATTTCATACGAAACCGTTGAGGACACGCTGAGTGTGAACGTAGGCAAAAAACAACAACAAGGCCGTCACCCTTTGCTCGCCTCTTAAAGTAGATAAATCAAGTGTGTTTAAAAAAGGAACAGCTAACCAGCTGACTACAGATCAGAGAAGAAGAGTGTGATGAGCTACAGATCAGAGAAGAAGAGTGTGATGAGCTACAGATCAGAGAAGAAGAGTGTGATGAGCTAAACAACAACACAAGGAGCTGTGTGATTGTGGGTGTGTTGCTACGGGAACAGGAAGATGAAGAAACACTTGCAGTTTAATTTAACTAAACGCTGAAACGCTATGCAGCGGTGTGTGTCCCCCCCCCCCCATTGCTCTCTGAGGCTGCATCCACTGCTGCAGGAGTCCCATTGAAATGAATGAGGGAACGTTTTTTTTCTGCCGCAGTGCCTGATAGTGATGTTGCAGAAAGAGAGAGAGAGACAGAAGGAAAGACGTCTGTGTAGTCTATCTGACCCAGAGCCCTCTGTGGAACAGTGACACACAGATGTTTGTGTAGAAAACGACATGACAGTCAGAAGATCTGCAGCTCAAATTTTTTGAATTGCATCTTCGCTCCTGTAAAAACCTTTTCAAAGACATTTGTTTTGTAAGATATGAACACCAGATGTTTCACTTTACAGTAAACGCGTAAATGTCTCCGTCTCTTGTCTCCTGTAAACAGACTCGGTCAAGGTGTCCTTTCTCTGTTTACCTCCCGTCTCTTCCTGTCCTCACCACAAACCCAGCAGGGAAAAAAAAAACAGAAAAGCTGACTGTGCAGGAAGGCAGTGACAGGCAGCGAGGCCCCTGATTGGTCGGTGAGCACCCCACCCATTTAACACTCCTCAATAAGCAGCGATGCAGCTGAATCCCGGGCAGGAGAAACGGTGCTCTGCTGCAGCAAACTGGGCTCATGCTCTCTGTTGTTTGTTGTGTTTGTATGCAGGGGAGGGGCAATGCAAACTGCAAACTCTTATTTCCAGAAACACATTCACAATGCGTCACTGTTAAGCACTGAGCCGCCTTAAAGGAGCAGACAGAGGTTCAAAACCAGCAACTTTTAGGTCTCATCCTCCTGTAATCTTAACAAGCCGGCTGCTATAATGTAAACAGGGTACAAAAACATGTCTTTGTACCTAAATTGCATTTCATGAAATCATGGAGAACTTAAAGTATGTCAGGGTTAGTACGAGGTCTGACGATGAGACTGTGAGATTAAATCAAATTAACTTTATTTGACCCTGTGTGCATCTACACAGAAGAAATTCTGAACTTATTTAAAGGCACAATGAGAAAGATTAGTCGTCCGGTGTTTAAAGTAATTAATAGGTTGAGGTCGTCACTGTGTTGAAGTGACCGGGATCATTGTTTCATTTGTAAGTAAACATCATGCTGTCCTAATGTAAGAAGACAAAGTGTAACAAATGAATAAATATAAATTCACTGAATTGTTATTTATTCTTTGAAATAATAAATCGCGCGCCGTAACAACAACTCAACTGTAATACAAATTGGTCAAATCTACATCCATTCCAGAACGTATGTAGTATATAAACCAGACGGCAACCTCCGTCGAGTGAAGCCGATGCTTCATGTGTTAAACCTGCATTCTCTCTAGTGACCAGCAGGGGGCGACTCCTCTGGTTGTATAGAAGTCTATGAGAAAATGACTCTACTTCTCTCTTGATTTATTACCTCAGTAAACATTGTAAACATGAGTTTATGGTCTCAATCTCTAGTTTCAAGTCTTCTTCAATACAGCATGATGTTCATTTAGTACATTATGGTCCATTTAGAGTCACACAGACCATAAAGCAGGGGATGCTTTAGGGCGGGGCTTACTGTGATTGACAGGTCACTGCTGCTACCAGAGACGTATATATGGCGTCGACACGTCATTGGTTGAAAAAAACAACAATGACGACAGCCGTGATCTAAGATGGCGACGGCAGAATCTGCGAACTTGAGGCTTCAAAACATCAGTCCCCAAACCAATGAGTGACGTCACGATGACTACGTGCACTTCTTATATTCAGTCTATGATACAAACATAATTGAATAGATCGGCCTGATTTCGGTATCACTGCATCCCTTTTGTAAACACGATATTTAAAGTTGGGCCCTCGTCTCCGACTCGCCAGCTGCTGAAAGTCAACTCTTTGGATTCGCTCTCGTTTTGGAGCGAGCTTTGCAAACAGTAAAAGTCAGAGAACACAGCGACAGAAGAAGATCCAGGCCGGGTGGCAGATACAGACACAACAAACCCACTTCTAGGGTCATGAAGATTGAGCGGGATCATTTTTGCTCGAGTCAATAAAGTTGTATACAGAAGTTTTTCCATCCTGACCGTGATGTCAGCTGTGCCAGACATCACTGTGTATGTACGGGGATCTTTAGTTTAACCTAATCCTCCGCTTGATGTGAAAATAAATAAATCAATCAGACAGACGGATGATGGAGGTGAGAAGTTGTCACATGATGCATAAATCATAGACTGCTGAGCAACAGGTGAAAAAAAGGCACCAAAGGGACGAACACCCGAGTCAGCACCCCCATACACCCCCCCCCCCCCCCGCATTGTTATATTTATTTTATATTCATACATGTTTTTCACCATAATAAACTTGTTTTACTGCAAGTATTGTCATATTTCGTGTCTCTTTAGGATTTATTATTTTATTGGTTTTGCTGTAGCCTGTTATATTGATTTGTTTCTGTTGTGAAGCACTTTGAGCTGCATTTGATATTATGGAAGGTGCTATAAATAAAGATTATTATCATAACTGTCATTCATATCATATCTGAATAATCATATTATATTAACTGTATTAGTTTGTCTGATCAAATTAATTTCATTTATAGCTTTGTATGAACTTCTGTGACTTCATTTGACCTCAGTGATGCCACTTGCTGAACCAAACACACGCACGCACGCGCACACACACACACACACACACACACACACACACGCCCACAC